TCGTCTTTTTTTTGTTTTTATTTAAAACTTCGTCTAATTCTGTAAGGAACTCATTTGTGTTTGATGATGGTGGTCTATAAATTGTGATAATTACAAGATCTATGTCCATGAGGTAACAACTTACGAGATTACATATGTTTTCAGGAGTGGATACTTCCTTCAGGTTACTTTTGATTATTTCTTTCACATATATTGAAGCCCCCCCGCCCCTGCCATTGTTTCTACAGGCATGGTAGCCGTGATAACCAGGAATATTAAACAGTTTTGTTTCATTGTCATGAAACCACGTTTCAGTTATTGCTAGAATATCACATTCACTGTCTTTCACATAACAGCAGATGTCGTCAAATTTATTACGTGCACTCTGTGCATTCAAATATACAACATTTAGTTGTCCTCCTTTCTCCGCATATTTGGTAGAAAATTTTTGAGGTCCTCTTCTGTTTCAACTCGTTTTGTTTTGCTGGTTTCATCTTTCTTCAGAAATATTTTGCCTTCAGCACACCATACGAACTTGAAGTTGTTTTCTTGTTTATATTTTCTTGCTAACATGTATAAATATTGGTTATACTTTGTTAGGTCATGGTTAAAATATATAATGTTATTCTTGTCATCTATTTCAAGGCTGGATGTGGTGATTTTTCTCTTATTCTTCGTTTGCATTAATTTTTCTTTATCCCTTTTATTCTCAAAGCATACTTTAATCAGTTGGTTTTCCTTCTCCATTTTCCCTATCCTGAAAACTTCAGTTTCCTTTATGTTTATATTCAGTTTGTTGTAAATGGTATTCATTATTGTGCCCAAATCTTCGTTTGGGTTTTGTTTTGGTATGCCTGTGATGATTACATTATTATCTAATGATTTTTGTTCATTTTTGTTGACTTCTTTATGTAGTTGGTTCTTGATTGTTGCTATTTCCGTTTTTAGGTCATCATTGATTTTTATTTGTTCTTGATATTTTTCCAAAAGATCACATTGTCTTATGTCCATTATATGTAATTTTTCCATCACATCTTTTAGTGTGTATTGTCCAGTTTCATCACCTCCGTTGGTTTCATTCTTTTTTCTCATACTTGGTGTTGCCGTGGGTGCGTTAGTTTTGGTAGTTTCGACGCCTATAATTTTGGGACATGTTTGACAATACCATCTCTCTCCATCTGCGATTTTGAGTTGCTTTTCATAGTTTTTGAATTCTGGCATCGTGATATTCACACATTGTGTGTGATACCACTTTTTGCACTTGTGACATGATATTGCGTAGCAGTTATTGCAACTTTTTCTACAGATATCACAGTTGGTTACCATTGTAGCGTGAGGATTTCTTGGATCCTCGTCTTTATTGTAGGCTTGGCAACGTGGTCGACTGTATTACCAGTTTGACCTCGAATTTCCACGTGCAAAGTACTATTTACTTCGGTTTTCTCAGCAATTTAGCTTTTGCCTTCACGAGTGACTGATCACTACACGTTATTACACACTTTGAACTAACTTTCCATAATTTTTGAATTGTTTTTCTCTACTATTTTCACTTCTAACTGCGCCAGTTTTCAAAGGTAAACACAACACGAAGACAGCGTTGCCAATTTTGTAAATGCTATTACGAAGCCTATTTTACAGTATCAAACAGCCATCAGTCACTTCCTATTGGACAAACATGTAAAAATCAGAACTTTTTCATTGCAATAGAAATAAGTGTATCTATATGATAGTCCCCTATACCTGAAATTCCGTAATCTGTTCATCTAATAGTAATAAAGGTACCTAAAGGTACATAAAACAGGAATTTGGGGTGATTTAATTGAAAACATCACTACAGGAAGCACTGAACATCCTATGCATTCTTACATGGAGTGCACTTTCTACTAACTTATCGATCTTGATGATTTCTGAAATTCAATTGACGCTTTCTGAAATTCAAATGATGTTTTCTGAAATACAAATGACGCTTTCTGAAATTCAATTGACTATTCTGAAATACAATTGACGCTTTCTGAAATACAAGTTACTATTCTGAAATACAATTGACCCTTTCTGAAATTAAATTGACTATTCTGAAATACAATTGATGCTTTCTGAAATTGAATTGACTATTCTGAAATACAATTGACGCTTTCTGAAATTGAATTGACTATTCTGAAATACAATTGACGCTTTCTGAAATACAATTGACTATTCTGAAATACAATTGACGCTTTCTGAAATTGAATTGACGCTTTCTGAAATACATCTGGAAAAGGTGTAGTTCCCAATCGTATTTTAACACATGGCAACTGTGCTATGGTCTGCCACTACTAACGAAATCGTGGCGTCAGTTTTTACTGGCAGTAAATTTCTAGCCGTTCGAAAATTAACGTGGCATCGTTGATGATTTTAGCACCTAAAAATCGATGAAAAAATCATGAAAAATATTTTTTTTATGTTCTGGTTCTCACGTAAAGGGATATCCTGTAATGTTCAGAGAACATCGTGAGAACCAAAGAAAATAAAGTAGGAATTGGTGTTCTTGAATTTTTGGAGGTTATATGCCTCGGGGAACACCTGCCTTGGCAATGTATTCCAGGGTCTCGCTGTTCGTTGGATGAACCAGTCTTTGGAAATAGATGTTCTGCAGATCTCCAAAGTGACCACGAATGGGTGCGAAGCCTCAACTCGTCGGGTTAATCTCGCGGGGACTGCCAAGAGAGGAACAATTGTTGATATTTCAGGAAGGTATTTGAGTAATGATTCGATTTAAGAGATAAAAAAAAATGTCCACTCGCCTATTAAGGCTTGTTAGGCCAGTTCAACACCATTTTTTATATCAAGCTAAGAATATTACTATTTTGGAACTATATTTTTGACGTTTGTAGAGAAAAAATTGTTTGCAACTGGAGCACGAAATACTTTGGTGATGTCGACTATTTTTTTAACTCGGCTGCGCCTCGTTAATGAAATCAGTTCTGGATTTCGCGCACTAGATACAAAAATAACTATTTCAGTTGACCTCGTATTAATGAGTAAATTCCATGTTTATGAAATTGATCGTTAATGACTCCCTATTAATGATCAATCTGTCTATTAATTCATGATTGTCGAATAGGCAACCAAACATGCACCGCGTCCATTCGCTATAACTCACGGAATCTGCATTGAATTCGAAAATATGGATTTCATCGGAGATTTTACGTTAACGGGTTAGCCTTCCAAAGTTTCTGAACCGATTTCAATCCCAGTTTTCTAACAAAAGGGATTAATTTTCTATGTTGATTATTTTGACAAATGTCAAACGTCACTAATGTCAGTAACACGTTGACAACGGCTACTGGTGATTCTTAGTAGTTTTCAGATGGAGGATGAATTCGCGAAGCAAATTTTCTACATTGCAGGATAAATGAGAAATATAGTCGATGAAAAAAAAACTGTGACCAACCCTAATATTGTAAGGCGATTAATACACTAGTTGGTTAAATAATTATTTCGTATACATATATCCTTACTGAAAATGGACAACATAAATAGAGGAAGATAAAAAAACAAACAAGAAAAATCTAAGAATCCGCTTGCACTTAATTGACCAGAGATAATTCAATTATTTATTCATCCAAACAGGCCTACTACATGGATAAACAATAAAATTAATCCTTGATGTCACGGATTTAGAAAAAAAGCAGAGTGAATAATCTCGGTAACCATTTGTTAGTATCACTCAAAACATTTTGGAACATTTCTATAATTATCAAAAATTGATAAGTAAACTAACCACGAGAGACCTTGATACACACCAAACCTATAAGTATTCATTATCTAATCTTATAATTCATTGCTGGTTGTTCCCTTCGCCTTCGGAATGCACTATTTCGTGCACTAATTTTACATCACTGCCAATTCTAGCGAAAATTCTTCCATTTAGAGACCATACATTTTTATTGCTGTATTTTTTCTTCGGCATTCCAAGTCACTCAAGAATTCATTAGAGAATATATCCGTTCCTTTTCTTGGCTGCATGAAGCCCCTTTTTTACATTTGATGAGAAAAGAATCAGAGGTTTTGTATGATTATCATATTTTTTTCGCCGTATACATGGTCCCGCCGCTATTTCCTAAACGTTGAGATATAGAAAGTTGATCAAATTAGACGAAAATTGCGTAGATCAAATCTCTTCAATATGACATCCTGCAATTTGCGAGAATTTCTACCGTTCCTGAAATATTCTGAGAAATATAAAAATTACTGATATCGTTTTTATTCATTTTCTTTGTCAGAGAAAGAAATTTGAAATATTGTGCAAACAGGTTTGGGATCATTCGAAATATTCTTTCTATTTTCAGGATACATTCATCAAACAACTTTCGTTTTACTTATGGGCGCCACATTTGTTTTTATATCTTTGGATATGGCTTGAAATGTCCTTCATATACATGTATAACATACCAATTGACATTATCATATGAAACAGATAGAAAAAATATTTCAAACCGTTTTTCGCTGGTTATCACTGCTGAAAATTTTAAATTCCCTACATTTTCGAATGTAGTAGGCCATGATAAAAATAAAACAAAATCATACGTCATGACAACAGTATTGATACGGCTTCATAGCCATGTATAACACGCAACATTATTCATTATAATTATTATTATATTATTCAACATAATAATATTTCAAGGTTCACAACGAAAGGATGTGCCTATGAAATCGGCGAACCCTGTATATTGCTTGTATATTCTTGAGTGCATGTAACTTTCAGCACCTTATTAACCAGGTTGCTTACCTTAGTTAACAGATGTTGATTGGGCTCTTCGTCGATTCCTAACATCCTCAACGTCTTTAACTCCACTTTTTGTTCCAATGCTTCAATTCTATTATGCAATGATTTTATTTCTTCTTTGTTGGATTCCGAAATTTTCTCAAAGTGAGATAATTGTTCTTCCATACTGTTTAATTTCCATTTCATTTTTTCAAAGTGTTTTTTCAGTTTTTCGAATTTGTTTTCTATTTTGTCAGTTATTTTTGGTGCTAACCTAATACATATCATATCAACTATATTGTCATCAATTTGTCCAAGCAGTTGTCCAGTTCCACTTCCTGTTCGATTCCTAGTTGACATTTTTATTGAAATTATGGCAAAGTGCCTTCTTTGCTTATGGACAATACAATTCCAAGATGTACTATATGAGCAGAAACACACTTTGAAAATTCACTGCACTTCAACTTATACACTTCACCTCATGAGAGATTCAAAAGTATTAGATAAATATCTTCTGAAATACGCCTTAAAACTTAAAAATGTTGCGGGAGCTCACCAGCCTGGTGTTCACAGTGACATGACGTCGATAATACCATTGCTTCCTGTTAAGTTTATATAGATCTAGATAGAACATTGTATGTATTCCAGAAATCTGAATATGGAAATGGTATATTCGAGATCAATTAGAATAACACTCTGTAACACACACATTTTTCTGACAATTTTGTCACTGAGGAGTGTCGAAAAACGAGAAAGAAGAATATTCGTTCTGAACCATCTGAAGTATTCCACTAGAACTGAACTTAATAACTTTCAATGAAAATCAAAACTCAAAGTCGGTCGGCCACATTAAATTATCAAAAAAATATATAAAAACATGTCATTGGGTTGACGATCGAGGTAAGTCAGGTATGAAAATTTGTTTAAAACGGTTCAACTAATTTTCATATAATTATCTCAATAATTCAATGTGACTACAGTACTGCAATCTGATAATGGCCGTTGTGCCGAATCCGGTTACTGTTTATTTATTCATTTTTATTATTACATAAAGTGTAGTCGACCAACTATTATTATGCCCTCAGGAGCTCACGACTTGTGAGTACGGGAATGGCAATCCCGAGGTACCCTAGCCAGATACTCATCAATCTTCAACTTGTCTTTGATGGTATCCTCTTCACTCTTCAGTTTCCAATCTTTTTCTTCATCGGCCTCCCTTGGTCACTTCTCCTCTTTTCCTTCTCCCCTAAAGCCCAACCTCACCATAGTGCGGGGAGGACAAGCCGCGGCTGCTCGACAGATTGAGCATTTTGGGAAAATCTTTGCTGTCATCACATATGGGACAGTTTTGTGGACATCTGAGTGCGAGGATGGGGCAATTTGTGAACATCTGCTTATGTGGCCGCGGATTGATAACGAGGCTCTGGCAATCCCCTCAGGGGCTCACAACTTCTGAGTACGGGAATGGTGAACCAGAGGTACCCTAGCCGGATATTCACCATACTTCAACTTGTCTTGGGTGATATCCTCTTCTCTCTTCCGTTTTCAATCCCTCTATCGGCCTTTCTTGGCCAACTTCTCTTTTCCTCTTCCCCTCCAAGCCCAACCTCACCATCAAGTGGTGTGGGGAAGGCAGGCCGCGGCCGCTTGACAGATGAAGCATTTTGGGACCATCTTTGCTATCTTCTGCCAGATGGGACAATTTGTGGACATCTGTGGCAGGGATGGGGCGATTTGCTGATGTTTGTCTAGGTGGTCGAGGACTGGTCAACGAGGCTCTGGCAACCTAATCCAAGCTGTGGGAACCCGTGGCGATGGATGGATGGCACCGAGGAATGGTGTCGCTAACGGGGCCTCTGGGAAACAGGGCGACATCCCAGAGTAAACAGCCTTAGCCCTGTGCAGGGGGCACCACAGGGCTGGACCAACCCCTTCCCCCGAGTTATGTAGCGATCGTTCCCATGGATTTGCCGGTCCCATAGAAAACGCTGATGTAGCTTCGCTGATCAAGCTGTATTCCAGGAAAGCTCTCAATTCGAGCCTCTGAGAGCGAATCTAGTTCTCACGTTTTATTCATTCTAATTGTAACTCTTGTCAGAGACAGTCGATCTGTATTTTGTAAAACAAATAAATCTTTTTTAAAAAGACGTTCGCTCGTTCAAAGTATTTAACTGGCGCAGTCGGTAGGATTTGTGCAGTGCGTTAAAGAAAAAAACTTTTTCGCGTCGTGGAGTTTCAACCCCTTGAGCACAAATTCGAACAAAATCCATCGAGGATTACCTACCCCGGACGAGCAGACGAGCAGCCGACCCAAACCTCTAGAAAGCTACGTAGAATCAACGAAGAAGGAACTGGAGACTACACGGATTTGGATTTTCTAAAACTTGTAAGTGCCAAATATTCCTTCTTGCCTTCATTGAACCCTCTGAATAAGGACTTCGGTGAAGATATTTTTAGTGCTGTTCATTGAGAACGAACCGATGTCTATGCTAGACAAATAGTTTTAGGATTTTTCTCAAATAAAAATAAATATTCGAAAATTTATGAGTGAAATTGATAATATCTCGTATAGGCTGAGTAGTTTATCTTTTGAAAGGAATTCAACTAACAGTGAATCTAATTTTAGAGAGGCAAATTTGTTAGCATCCACTATGTCTCCACCAGTAGTAACACAAGCACAACCTGTTCAAATGAACTGGAATCTTTTCAAATCCAGACTCAATAATCTCAAACAATTCGATGGCGATAGTAACGCATTGAACAAGTTTATCGATAGGTGTGATACTTTAGTCAGTGCCTATGAAGCCTTCAATGATCAATAATTGAATGATCATGTTCTTGAATGTATTCAAGAAAAATTGATAGGGAAAGCCGAATATATGGTAGGAAACAGGGTCGAACTCAATTCTTGGGCCGCACTAAAAAACGCTTTGAAACAATGCTTTTCAGACCGTAGAGACCTAGACTGTCTAGTTCAGGAATTAACTAGAAGTCGACCGCATAAAGGAGAAGACTTACTTAGTTTTGGAACTAGGCTCCAATTATTGAGAAGCAATGTCGCACAACGTATAAGTAACGATACAAATTTAGCTCGAGATGAAAAAACTTATCAAATTTCTCACTACGATAAAGTCGCACTAAGTACATTTATTGCAGGGTGCACTGGCATCTTGAGGAACAACATGCACCTGAAAAAACCCGCTTCCTTAGAAGATGCAATGGCATACGTAAATGAATATGAAAATTTTGAAAATATGTATGGTAGTTTTCAGAATAATTTCAGGCCAAAATTCAATAATCCAGGAATTAGACAAGTAAACACTCCTAACGTTCAACCAAATAACGTCCAATCGCAAAGACCCAATTTCTTTCAAAGACCATTCCAAAGTAACACATATTATTCAGATCCTAAATTTTCACTGAGACCTATTTGGCCCAGCCAACCAGTGAATGTAAATCCGAGGCCACAACCCCCTCAAAGATTCCCAACTAATCGAGAAGTTTTCGGACCTCCCCGAAACGTATTCAAACCGAACCAAATTCCGGCAACGCAATTACCAAAACCAGAGCCTATGTCAACGACCTCTAGAAATCCTACTAGAATGTCACATCAATCTTTTCCACAGCATGTTCAACAGGCCAGACCAAATTTTAATAATCAATACTCAAATAACTTTAGGAATAACCAAAGATTTTTCCAATTAAATCAAAAACCTAATTTTGTATCTGAAGAATTATTTTCGAATGAATACGAAGAACCATTCTCTGATCAGAATCAAATTTTTAACGTAAATTCTAGTTGCGCCGAAGCCGCGTACTATCCCGAATGCGACTACCCTGATCAAAATTCGTATGTTGAACAAAATTTCGATAACCAGCCACTTTACCCTCAAGACCAATACACTGACGATTCAAACCCCGACGAAACTGGAAATTTTCATCCAACCAGCCAAAAGGACCTATTGACTTAACCGAAATAAATCTTTCTAGAAATAATTCTCTCCCTTACGTTGAAATTAAACATCCAAAAATGAAACTACTAATAGACACAGGGAGTTCTAAATCGATAATCAAACCCTCAATAATCGAGAAATTTTATCCCCACAAAATTTTTCAGTCTGATACAATAATCAAAACGGCAATAGGTAGTCAAAATACAAGATACCAAGCATTAGTTCCGGCATTTCCCGAATTTAATACGAGCTATGAAATCAATTTCATTCTGTTCGATTTCCATGATTATTTTGACGGAGTATTGGGACTGACAGACTTGATAAATATGAATTTGAATATTGATTTGACCAATGCAAGGTTGGTAGGAAATCATACGAATATTCCATTTAAATTTAGACAACCTACGGACACTAAATTCTCATTTTCAATTAATCCTCAAGAAAAAACTATCAAAAATATACCAGTTAATATATACGAGGGAGAAATAATGACAATAGAAGGTACAATTAATAAGTTATTCATTCCACAAGTAGTGACAATTTCGAAAATGGGGTACGCCCCAATAGAAATACAAAATCCCACTAATGAAACAATTTCCGTAACATTGCGAGAACCTATTCCTGTCAAACAATTCGGCTCATCATTGTACGAAATATATACACTCGATTCTTTTACCATTCCGAACAAAGACACTCCAAATTCAAATATAGACCACTCCCAAATTTCAGACTTAATACGCACAGACCACATGAACTCAGAGGAAAAATCTGCAATACTCAAGATCTGTAACGAATTTTCCGAAATCTTCTTCAAACCCGGTGACGATTTGACATTTACCTCCAAAATTAAACACGAGATTAAGACTGTTGACGAAATAACTGTCCACACGAAATCCTATAGGTATCCCTATATACATAAAGAGGAAGTACAACGTCAAATTAACGACATGCTTGAGAAAAATATAATAAGACCGAGCTGTAGCCCCTGGTCTTCCCCCATTTGGATTGTCCCGAAGATACTAGATTCTTCCGGGAAGACTAAATGGCGGGTAGTTGTGAATTACCGGAAAATCAACGAAAAAACAATTGGTGACCGGTACCCACTCCCTAATATCAATGACATTTTAGACAAACTTGGTAGAGCTCAATATTTCACGACCCTTGATTTGGCTAGTGGGTTTCACCAAATCGAAATGGCTCAAAATTCGATCGAAAAAACCGCGTTTAACGTAGAGCAGGGACACTACGAATACTTGAGGATGCCATTTGGACTCAAGAATGCACCATCTAGTTTCCAGCGTGTAATGGATGAAGTCCTCAAAGACCTGCAGAATAAGATCTGCATGGTATACATGGACGACATTATTATTTTCAGCACAGGACTCCAAGAGCATATTCAAAATCTCA